GTATTTTTTTTGTGGTTTTGTCTCAGTTATTATTGGTACCATTAAATTTTTACTATTATATAAGCTTTATAATTTATGTACACATAAATATTGCTGGACTCTTTTACAAATAACGCTGTAACAATCTTATTTGTTTAACAGAATAGTAAGCATGTTATCTGAAAATACTGATAATTTATTTAGTATCTTTATTTTTCCCAATTTCATCATTTTTTCCAATAAATTTGTTTTAAACTTTTAAGTGTTCCTTGGTTATGCCTTTACTTGCTTGGTATTGGTTTTAAAGTATTAGACTCTGTTACTTATGAGTAGTTTGCAATTATCATTTCCTTTATTACTTAATAAGTGTTATATAAAGGTATGTCTGTATTTTTGTGTATGTCCATTTGCTTATTTATTAAATTTGCTTTAATTTCAGTTGTATGTATTTACACTAAGCAAAAGACATCAGTTGGCAATTGTTTTTAATTTATTGTTAGAGGTGGACTGCGGGGGGAGAAAAAAAGCCACCACCAAGAAGTAAGCCCTCCTTGTGAACCACTGCTGTGCCCAGGCCACCACCAGAGTAGAGACAGCCAGACTCAAGCCTTTCCCTGTGAGTCAGCATCATCCATTGGCTATGGGGGCTATAAACAAGCCCTATCAAGAAGCAAGCCTCTACTGCAAACCAGTGTCATACACAGAGACAGCCAGACCCTTCCAGTGCATGGGCTGGCAAACAAAAAGTACCATTCCCCTATCTTACACCCCTATTTCCATAAGCAACTCACTGATCCAGAGAAACACGGGCTGTAATGATATAGCTATTTAGGCGGAATGCAATTTGATGTTTGTGGTGTTAGGGTATTTCACTGACCTTGCATATTTAGAGCCAGTGGTTTGAACATCTGTTTCGAGGATAGTGGTATGCAGCGTGGCATCTAGAAGGGATCCCCTCCCGAGAGTGGTTTGTTGATTCCCTATTGTCTCATTTTGAAGTCCAGTATCACCTTGATTGTTTTTTGGGTTGGGTTTTATCCTCTTCTGTTTTGATTTCGTTATATCCGATGTCATGAGCAGTTATTTCAAAGATAGCAATGTATATTATGGTGGCCATTTTGGATTTACTATTGTCCTTTTTTGAAGTTCTTTATTACATTGATTGTTTTATTTTTATTGTTTCTATTTTGTTCTGTTTGATTTTACTATGTCTAAAGGTATCTGCAGCTATTATGAAGACAACAAAAGTCATTATGGTAACTATTATTGATTTCATAATGTTTTGAAGTCCTGTATCACTTACTTTGCTTTGATTGGTTTTATTCTGTTTTATTTTCCTTGGCTTCATCCTTTTTAAATTAAAAATAAATAAATAAATAAATAAATAAGTAGTTGTTAGAAAACATGGATGTCAGAAAGCATGGATGACTAATGTCTAAAAATTTCATCAGGTGTAAATAGAAAAGGGGATGGATCATATTGATTTTTCATCATTTTTATTTTCCCAGATCTAATCTTTCTCTCTGCTACTGTGTGGCTTGCTGGGCTCAACTCTATCCCCTTAGTCACTCAGACTCCCTGGACCTTAGATTCTACTTAGGTTTCTTATCTCAAGGTACTGACAAAAGATTTATGTATAGGTGAGTTATGGGGAGAAGTATTTATTCCCCTGATTATTCCTATCTAGCTACAAATGTATCCTGTTTATATTCTTACATGGCCACAGTACCTGAATAGTGTATCTTTGACATTCTTCATTCTCAGAAGTTAAATAAATAATTTTCTTAATGACATTTTGGGGTTAGTGTAGTCATTCTTTTACACTATTGCTGCTTTCTCACCATTATTTGTTGATTTCCTGAATTTTCCCTTTGTGCCTGTAAAATGTCTCATTAAGCTTTTTCTCCCCACTTTCATCTTTTTAAGTGTTTCCTCTCCAAATCTTTACTGATTCATACTCAATCAGGAAATATCAAATAAAACCATGACAGTACAACTGAGAATCATCAAATGGTTCATTAGAAACATCTTCATGAGGAAAAGATGACAAACTTCATCCCAAGATGCATTTGCTTAAGCTTTGGACTCCTCTATGTAAGCCTCAAGCTCTACACCCACTCTTCATGACTATGAGCCATGACTGCATGCAGACTTTAATGCACCACCCAGCAGCAGGTGCTTCAGCTAATACAGTAAATACAGACCTCTAAGAGTACCAACTTGTCAAGATTCTTTCACTCTACCAGTGCTACCAGTTTTTGTGCAGCTAATCTCCTTATTTGAGTTTCTTTCTCTTACATATTTGGAATTTGCCTAGCTATATTATTAAAACAATGGAAAATGATGCAGGAGGACTATGAGGAAAAAAAGGCATTAATATGAAAGTCAAATGCTTCAAATAATCTTGCTAATTTATTTTTTAATTTCCTTTTTTCCTCAAAAGGAAAGCTGGATATTCAGATTTCTTAAAAGAATTTTTTGTTCAAGAGGGATGTGAAGATTCAAAATTCTCAGATTTATCTCCGTTCACCTCGATTTTGTCCAAAATTCTATATCATATTATTTTCCAAACTACACTCTCACTGTGAAGTACAAATGTGTTTGGTTTCTAGCACAACTCTGAAATGGGTGAACTTAGACTTTACAGCTAACCTTTATCTACACTATCTCTACAACTAAAAGGAGAAGGGCACCCCTAGCCTTATCGCAGGCCTTCTGACTGTTTATCTATTCCTTGAATTGTGAGTTTAAATCCTTAGGTTCCTTTTAGCAAATTCCTTTTTGTAGGCTCTTTAGTAGAGCTGAAGCTGCCTCACTATCTCATTCTATGTAATAAACATTATCAGCAGGCGAGGGTCTTACCCACTCAGTCTTCCTTTGTCTGGCCCTCCACCTGCATTTTACTTGTGTCATCATCAGAGACAATTATACTAACTGTCATTGGTCTCCTAAAGATTGTAGACATTATTAAAAAATATAAGCAACTCTATCCCAGAAGCCTGTCTGTTACAGAATGGAGGATGATAGTATTCCTGATATCAATACTTCTATTAGTCAGTGAGTGCCATTGCAGGAAATACATGGCATATTTTAAATAAAAATTTACAGTATAGGCAAGGTTAGATTTCAGCAGGAGATGCTGAAGCAAACAAGCACCAAAGAGATGAAAATCTTTCTAGATTTGTAAGGCTAAGAAGAGAAACTGAAAGTACTAAAAGTTGGCAAAACTGAAGAAACATAATCCACAATGATTACAGCTTTAGAGAAATAGTTTCTGACCACGTCAAAACAATAAAATAAATCAAGGTGAAATGAATGCTCCAATCTCTTTCTCCTCCAGATGTCTGACGTGCTACCAGTTTTTCCCAATGGAAAGAAAAAACAAGAATCCAGAGGTAGGAAAAACTGGATTGTTCATTTAGTCAGCTCTAGGGAAATAGAGGGCATAAAATGGATCTGAGTGGAGTTGAGCAATTCCTATTTTTCAACATATTTAATAAGAGTTGTAGTTTTTGTCACTGCTGTATGTGAAAATTTCAAGTCTTACAGCTAATGAGATACATCTGAAAAAGTGAAATACTCTGAAAAGTGAGACTTCTCAGCTGTGGATATTCCAAGTATGGATGTTTTCCATTCCATGAATGGCATCTCAAGCCACTTAGAAAATGGCCTTTGACATCGCCCAGTATCCTGTACTTGCTGATTCTACCAGGAGGTCAATCTCTTTCAATCTAATCTTAAGCCTCGGGTTGGTTGAATTCTCAGAGTTTGACCAACCATATTGTTTCCCTGAGATATCTCATTTACGCAACTTGTTAGATGATGCTATTTGCTCTCACTGTCCTACCTGTCACCACTGATGGTATGAGATACCTCTTATGTGCCTTTTACCATTTATTGAGCTCAGCTTTACAACCTCTCAAACTTAGCTTTGTTTTTTCCTCAATATGTGATTTCATGATTCTCATTGGTATTTCATACTTTCACAAAAGTCCTCCTCTCTCACTATTCCACATCAATGAATATTTGTTTTTACAGTTTTATATATTTTCTGTCATTTTGAGGGAAAGTATACTATTCAAATATTCTTCAACATACCTCCAATTTGAGATATAAAATTGTAAATGCTGTTAATATTCTAATAACTTTGCTATAAAAATAACTTTACTATAAAAACCTTGATTAGGAGTTGGAAAGACCTATGGAAGGTAAAATTCATAGCCAGTTCATTTTTTTTTTCAATTTTTTTCACTTGGTCATGTACTAAATAAATGTATAAACTTAAGAAGGAATGCATCGATTTAGAGAATAAAAATTGATTTATGACTATATTTATTTGTTTAACAGATTTTTTTAGTAAATAATTTCATGAAGACCCATGATCATTGGATTGAAGAAAGTAATTGCTTTATCCAAAAAGAAATCCAGAGTGAAATAAGCTTCTGTTAATATGCACATAAAGGAAAAATTAAACAAACCTTAGGTTTAAGGTAAAATGCTCCCCAATACAACTTGATAAAATGTTCCAGTACACGTGATTACTTGCCTCAGATCTGTCACATTGATCGTCAATATTTGAAGAAAAATGTTTCTCATATTATACCACTAACCCTAAAACATATACACTAAAAGCTCAGCCAGAGATGTGGAGGTGGGTAACAGTAACGGGTAAATCACAGGATATTATATCAGTATGGGTTTATGGAATAAACAAATTACCATTGTCATAATTAATATCTTATGATGGAAATCCAAAGCTGAATTCCTGTGCCCTGGCATCACACAACATACCAATGCATAATATTCTTCCAGTAAATATTTTCCCTTGCATTGCTTTAATTCTAATTGTTTATCAAGGCCCATCTCCACTGTCTTTCATCATGAGTTCCTAACAAATGAGACCTCAAAGCAAATTTGGCCTTCTACTATGATGGCCACCTTCCTTTTGCTTCAGTCTTTGGGCGTGTCAACATTATGTACTTCCCTCCATTCTTGTCCTTTCAGCAACCTGACATGATTACCTCTCCTCAGCAGCTTTTGAAGGGCGTCCAGACAGTGTGCACAGGAAGTAAACCTGTGTGTGAAAAAAATCAGTGAATAAGCACTTGTCTGTCTGATATCACCATTCACATCTGTAGTAATATCTCAGATTTGGATTCTCTTGGACATCAGGTTATTTTTTCAAAAGCTATTCTCATGAAATTTAAATTTCAATACAATACATGGATTATGACTTTCCAGAATCTTCCACTTAATCAGTTATAAATTTGATGCTCTTTCCTTCATATTTTGAAAATGGGAAAACTGTCCTTTGGCATATTACTTTACCTTTTCTAATTGATATCAAGTAAGTTGTATCATCTCTGCAACAGTAATTTATTTTTCACTCCATATTTCTACCTGCGACTATATAACACTCAAAATTCTATTAAATAATGCCTAGTTTTACTCTGATATTTCTATGAAGCTTTTTTCTATTAGATTACAAACTTTAATATTTGTAGTATCTTATTTAAGACTATCTCTTCTATTTATATGCTAAGTGCTTTCAAATATAATACAAGTTGATTAAATTGTACTTCTAAAAATATAGAGAGATCTTTGAGTCTTGCTAAATGGAACACAGAATAGCTTCTCAGAAAACAGTAATATATTTATTTTTAATAAAAATTATTTCTGGAAACATTAGATCTACAGTTAACACAGTGAACAATCTGACTCAATAGTTAGTACCCTCATGATCCCTTCTCTGCCTTCCTCTCCATCTTCCCCAACCTCCATAAGTTTCTTCTTGTCACAAGGCAGCTAACCTAAAGTGTTCATATGACTGAAGTTTCTGCTTTGGGGATCATAAAGTTGTCATCCCAATAATTTAAGAACTTCTTGGAAGCTATTTGGCTATAAGCTATAGCTTGATAATTACAGTCATGTAAGGCAGCTAAATGTTGAGAGTACCTTGAAAGTTGGTCTCAAACCTATTATTTCATTTCCTTCCAGTCATATACATTAGGATGGTCCAGAGACCTTATTTACATTTTCTTTATGTATTGCCCTTTAACTATACAGGTACTTTATCTCTTATATTTCTTTTGCCATTGATATTAACAGACATTAATCTGAAAAAGAGCAAGCTTATGTAATGTTCCATTGTAATAATAGTTGGAAAATAATCTCCTTTTTATCCCAGTTCATTCTGAATATATATATATATATATATATATATATATATATATATATATGTCTGGATATCCACCCGAAGTCTCATACAATTATGGAGGGCAAACTTTTCAGAGGTGACTGAATCTAGAGTTTGTGATTGGTTCATTTTCTAGTGCTGGGATTGGGAGTGTGAGTGCTATAACCACCCTAGAGCGGGTGACCAGCATACAATATAAGTAAGGAAAAGAGGCTTGCTCCTCCTGTCTGCTCTTACTGTTTTTGTTGCCGTACACCACTGAGTAGTTGCTCCTCTGCTACCATGCTATCCTGACTTGGAGCCAGCCAACTGTGGACTAAAACCTCTACAAACTGTGAATTAAATAAACATTTCTTTCCTGAACTTTGAGTGTTGGGTATTTTGTCTCAGCAATGAGAGAAAAGTAACTGATACCTCAGTCTCCTCCAAACTGAAATTATTTAAAATAAAAGGAACAGATTTCCAGTGAGAACAAACATGAAGAGCCATGGCTTTAAGTCTTTAAGTGACATCAAAACTGAAACCCCTTTTTCTCTCTAGGGCCAATGCCACAGGAGGATCTGAGGGTCAGTGTTTTGATGTAAGAGATCTAGGAGAAGCAATTGTGCATTCAGAAAAAAATGTTTTGTTTTTTTTTTTCTCCAGAAGTTGCCTTCTTAGACCCAGCCTCATCTGTGGAAAGCATCATTTCCATATATAGAGAGCATACACCATGCCTAGGAAATGCTCACCTATTGTCTCAAAATTCAAGCTTCTGACTGCCCATCCAAAATATTATAACCATGTTGTTTGTGATTCTAATTAGTTTTCCAAGCATATGACAAACTAAATTGAATAAATCAAACTGACCTTTAAATTTCTAGAATTATAGCCTATTTAAATGTCCATAATGCTGCAATAATAACCCAAGTTAATAACGATTTCACTCTCCTCCTTGAGAGGCTCTCTGGGTGATACACAACGTTATTAATTTTGGCATGATTACAAATTATTCCCATAGTTCAGTTTTAATACAGTATTGATGTTGTTATTAATATGGATTTGTCAGTAAAGATACAAAACTGAGTTAGTTCCAGCTAATGTCAGCTTTAAGGTTAAAATATAAAAAAATAAGAAAACTAGTTTATATTGAGGAAGGCAAAAAAAAAGCACTATAAGACTACAGTTTCATTTTAAGGGTAGTAGGCTTGTTATGAGAAAGAAGTCAAAATGATAAAATGGCAAAAATAAATAAAAAGGCAATATATGTCAGCATATTATCAACCTAAATTTGTATTATATATAATACACTCATATATTTCATTTTTATGCTTTTAAAAATTTCTAAAGATATGTATTAGGATATATGATAATTCCATGAAGATTGTCACAAAGTAAATTTAAAAGGTTAATCATCACAGTTATATAAAAAGAGTTACTTGTGCATGGACTTTTATTTTGTGAAGTATGTGGGATAATATGAAAACCAGACTAATTGTGAACATGTAACTTGAGAAAGAAAAATTCCCATAAATAAAATCCATTATGAAAAGGAAGTCTAGCATAGTGCTAGAAAGTTCTAACTGGACTTAGCTGTGAACAGGAATTTAACTTAATAGTGGTTTTGCTTATATTGATAATTTCTAAGCATTTTTGTGTGAGATATTTCATCTCAACTGCTTCGTTCAAAATATCTTTTACAAAGTTGGCCAAAAAGTACATGAAATAATGAATGATAAGTATTTAATAGTGCAGGCTCATAGTAAATGCTCAAAGCATGAAACTCCAGGTAAGAGGGCTACCATTATATTAAAAAATAGACTCAATTTCATCACGATACGTTCAAACTCAGAGAAGGAAAGTGATTTCCATAAGGACTCGCAGTTATTAAAAAGAATGTGATGGGATTAAAACCATGTAATTTCTAATTATTCAATCAGTTAAGGAGCGGTCCCATCTGCTTTGATGTTTTTCTCAGGTATGATCGCAGATAAAATATGTATAGAGTTTTATTTGTCCACATAAAAATTAAGTTTCTAAAATTTCTACTTTCAATAACTCAAATAAATCCTCACCAAACGGAAATGGGGTATTTTGGAAAAAATAATTTCTGCCTAAAGATATCAGATAGCTGTAAAGAAGTGAAAAATCTGTGGGCAAAATATGTAAGTACAAATAATTCAGCAATTTCTAACCCACCATTTTTACTTTCTTTTCCCTAGAAGGCTCTGCCAATGAAAAGAGAGGCGGTTGGGAAGATGCCCTATGTTATTATTTTCATGGCTATATCACATACGACAATGTTTTATAATTTTATATTTTCCACGTAATAACTTTTATAAAAGGTTTTCCACCTAGATAGGGTAACACACACACTGGTTATCCCAGCATGGTAGGAGCCAGAGGCAGAAGGATCACAAGTTCAAGTCCAGACTAGGCAACTTAGTGACTTAGCAAGATCTTACCTCATTTTTTTTTCTTTTTAAAGAGCTAGGGATGTAGCACCATGCAAAGGCTCCAAGTTCAATTTCCAATAGTGAAAAGATAAAACAATTTCCCATTAATGTACATCTAACTTTGCTTCTGACAAATAAAACCATTTTTTTTTTTTAACCAAGGATCGAGCTCATAGCCTTGCACGTGCCATACAGGAGCTTGTGCCACTGAGCTAAATCCCCAACCCTAACTTTCCTTCTGAACTCCCTCCCCTAATGCTCACTGATCCAGGAATATTATTATTTTCTTTGTCTAAAATGCTGAATAGTGCAAAAAATTGTCTTTTTTTTTTTGAACTCCAAAGTCATTTCCTCCATAAAATCAGTACAGCATCCTAGTGAAAAGAGTCTCAATTCACTTGCTACTCACTTCCTTTGAGCTTCCCAGAGCCACAAACATAGTATTTTTTTGTATACTTATTTGAATGTAAGCCTGATTGTTCACAAGCATTTCAGGTGTTTTAGAGAAGAAGCTCTGATTTTCTCACATTTTTATTCCCTTGTAATTAAAGTTCTGTGTGGCCAAAAGCTTGTGTGATTGCAGAGAGGAATTCTTTAATGTGAAAATACAAAGTTATAGGGCTTTAGAAGCCTCTCATGAAAGATAGGACCCCTAAAATTTAATTTCAATAAAGCTACAGCAAGCCAATTTTTTTTTCTTTTGAGGTAGGGTCTCACTACTATAGCCCATGCTGGCCTCAAATTCCTGGCAATCCTCCTGCTTCAGCTTTTCAAGTGCTGATATTATAGGCTTGTGCCACCACAGTGTGAAACCCAATTGAGAACAAACATAAGGCACAATGTGTTTGATTTGCGACAGTAAATTGTCATTAAATTGATAATATTCATTGATATTTAAAGATTTTTTTCTGCTACTTTTATGTATTTTTTTCTATTTTATGCCTAGACCTTAAAATAATGTAGAGCAAAGGAAGTGATAATAAAAGCTCCTACATTTTATATTCTGGCCTCTCTCATCACTCTTTTTTCATTTTTTTCTTTTTTTAATATATAATTTCAGAAAATATACAATAAATCACTAGCTGATAAACTACATATTGTCCTCTTAGAAATAGCTGTTCAAGTTACAAACTAAAACATACAAAGTGTACATACAAACAGTGAGACTGCAAACATTTCTGTTCAATAACCCAACAGAAACTTAGCAATATGATTATCAATTCTACAAACTTAAACATATATGAATTTATATCCTTTAGAGCACTTTCTTTTCCTCTCTTTTTTACAATAGCAATTACCCTTTTGGAGCTACATTACTCCTATATTTCTTAGTACTTCTAGCTCTAGAAACATGATGTGATATTTATAAATATGATTCTCATTTATTTCACTATTGAAGATAGTCTCAGGTTGTCTCCATTTACCTATGAAGGCCTCAAGATCATCCTTTTTATAGCTGATTAATATTCCACTGTATAAAAATACATCATCTTTTTCATCCACTCTGCAGTTGATGGGCATCTTGGTTGTTTCTAAGATTTGGCTATCATAAATTGTGCTGCTATAAACTTAGGGGCACATATATCACTGTGATATGACTTTTTAAGCTTTTATGGGAAAATACCCAGGAGGGAAATAGCTGAATTAAATGTACTTCCAATCCTAGTCTTCTGAGAAATCTCCATACTGATTTCCATAGTGATTGTACCAGTCTACACTCTCACCAACAGTGGAGCAGTGTTCCTTTTCCCCTGCAGCCTCGCCAACATTTGTTAGCAGTTGATTCCTTGATAGCAGGTATTCTTTCCAGAGTGAGATGAAATCTCAATGTTTTAATTTACATTTCTCGAATGACCAGAGATGGTGAACATTTCTTCATGTATTTATTTTCCATTTGTATATCTTTATCTGAGAACTGTATGTTCATCTCAGATGCCCATTTTTAGAGAGGGTATTTGAATGGGGGGGCTCGATGTTTTTCAATTCTTTATATGTTCTGGATATAAGTCCTTTGTCTGAGGCATTGCTGCCTATAATTCTTTCCCATTCCGTGGGTTTTCTTTTCACTCTGTTGGTGATTACATTTCAAGTGTGGAAAATTTTCAATAATAGGAAATCCCATTTGTTGATTCTTTGAAGTGTTTCCCATGCAGTTTGTGTTTTGTTCATGAATTCTATGCCTACCCTTATGTCTCCAAGAATTCTATATCTACTTTATTTTCCAGTAGATTTAGTTTCTGTTTTAATATTTAGATATTTGAACCATTTAAACTTATGTTTTGTGCATGGTGATAGGCATGGATCTAGTTTCCGTCTTCAGCATGTGGAGAGTCAATTTTTCCAACAACATTTATTAAAGAGGCTATCCTTCTTCCAGTGAACATGTTTAGCCTCTTTGTCAAATATCAGATGGCTGAGAGTAAAAGGTTGTTATATAATGTCCATATATTTATGCAGTTATTGAAATTTCTTTTGCCATTAATTTCCAATTTCAGTGCACCTATGGTCAGATATTATGCATGGGAGAATTTAATACCTTTACAGTTACTTAAGAGTTTTATGTTTTAGGAGTTAATGTATGGTCTATTTTGGAGAATGTGCTATGTGTAGCTGGAAAGAATGTGTATTCTGATGCGGTTGAGTGGAACACTCTGTAAACATCTAGTAAGTCCAATTGCTCGCAGGTATGATTCAGTTCTATTATTTCCTTGCTGACTTTTTGTCCAGTTGATCTATCTCTTTTTAACAATGGGCTGTTAAGGTCCCCTGTTATAATTGTGTTCTTGTGCATTTGGTTTTTCATGTCCATTAGTATCTCTGTTATATAGTTGGGTGCTCCTGTATTTATATATATATATATATATATATATATATATATATATATATATCTGCTAGTTCTTCCTCTTGAATTTTTTCACTAAACAAGTATGTAGTGACCTTCTTTATCCTTTTAATCATTTTAGGTTTGAAGTTCACATTGTCTGCAAATAGAATAGCTACCCCTGCTTTTTTCTGGGTTTCTGTTGCATGAAATACTGTTTTCGATCCTTTGACTTTTAATCTATGAGATTCCTTTTGGGTCAGATGTATTTCTTGTATCTAAAATATTGTGGGGTCATGTTTCTATATCCACTCTGTCAACCTATTTATTTTGATAGGTGAATGGAGGTCATTTACATTTATGGATATCACTGATATCCACTGGCTCGACTTTGCCATGTTGTGTTCCAGTTGTTTGCTTTCTGCTTTTCCCCTTGTTTAATTGCTTGTCCTACCTTGTGATTTCTTTCTGCTGTTGTTCTGGAGATTGTGGTCATTTTTATCTCTATCTAGTATGTGTTTCATACTAGATAAGGTTGGTTTGATGGATGTGAATTTCTTCAGTTGTTCTTTGTCATGGAGGTATCTTGTTTCTCCATTAAATCTGAATGAAAATTATGCTGGTTTGAAAGTTGTTTTCTTTCAGGGCTTGAAATACTTCACTCCAATCTCATCTTGACTTGAAGGTTTGTGCTGAAAAGTCTGTTGTGATTCTAATGGGCTTTCCTTGATTGGTGAGTTGCGTCTTTTCTCTAGCAGCTTTTAGTATTCTGTTTTTATGCTGTATGAATGAGATCTTAAAATTGTTATATGTCTACGTGTAGATTTGTGTTGGTTGTGACTGTTTGACATTCTATATGCCTCACTTATCTGCATATCTGATTTTTTCCCCATGTTTGGGAACATTTCTGCTATTAATTCTTTGAATATTTTGGTTATGTCATTTGCATTGACTCCTTCATCTTCACTGATGCCTATTAATCTTATATTGTTACTCTTGGCATAATCTTGAAGCTTCTGGGTTGTCATTTCATGCTGCTTTATTATTTTTAAAAGTTCTATCCTTTCATGATCACTAATTGCAATCCTATCCTCAAGGTCTGAAATCCTATGCTCAGCTTTATTTAAATGGTTTTGCCAGTTTTTAATAGAATTTTTTGTTCCTTGGATGTCTCTTGGAGTCTAAATTTCATGAGTTCTGCTTGTTTTCTATATTGTTCATTCAAATTTTCAAGGTTGATTCAATTTTACTATGATCCTGTACTTTTTTCTCTATTTCTTCTTTAGCTGTACTAAGCAACTCCTTTACTAAGGTTGTTATTTCTATCTTTACATGGAAGACTACTTCTAATTTGATTTCCTCTATAGCCTCATGGAGTTTTTGTTTTGTTTTGTTTTTTGTTTTTCACTTGCTATCTTTTCAGAGGTTTCCTGTGTGTTACTTTTGAAGTCCTCAATTTCAAAGTCTCCTGAGTACTTGCTGCTGGTGGACTAGATGTTTGAGATTGCATTTTGCTATTTCACTTTGCCATTTTCCCCTTTCGAGTTAATATTTGGTCCTTCAATCCCATTAGTGTCAACTGTTGATAGTGTGTATCTTGGGGTCCTTATGTAAGGTTGATGTTTGTCCAGTTGTTGGGTCCTACAATGAATAGATGGGCCAGTCCCCTGACTTCCCACACAGGGCCTGTTGGGTGAGTTCTACATTCTTCCTGGGCTGGCAAGCCTTGTATTGATGTAAATCAACTTTTAGTTCCTCTATTACTTTATCTTCAGGTTATTCATGGTCACCAAATTTCCCTATTTATAGTGTTATTGTTGGCTGAAGCCCTACTGTGTCCCTATTGTGTCTTATGTGTCTCATAAGCCCTTTTGATTTTCTTCAAGTTGGGGGAGTCATTATTGGCACATTCCTCACCCTGCCTGATGTTTTCTGTGTGCAGGAAGGAGTTTCCCACACTCTTGTCAGACTTACCAAGGTCTTACAGTTAGTTAGAGGGAGCTTTACTATTGGCCCTATTTACCCACTGTACACTTCTATTTTAGGGGCATACTCATGACATTGACTAGAGCATGCTGAGATCTTCTGTTTGGGTGAGGCTGTTACTGAATTTCCCTTCAAGCTAGCATACTTAATCTGCTGTAGCCCAAGGTTCTGCGAGAAAGGGTTAGAGCTTAAGATCAGCAGCAGTATTAGGCCCAGGAGGTAGGGAGTGTCCCTGAGGGGCCAGCAGATGTCCTGGGTCCAGGTGTCTTCTGGGCATGGACCAAGGTCCCAGGGGGATGTGGAGTTCCTCAGTGCCAGCTGGAGTCGTGCAAGGAGCATGCGGCCGTGAAGCTAAGGTCCAAGGGCAGCATGTGTTCCTCAGGGCTGGTGTCACTGGCACAGGAAGGGTGCATCAGCACAAGCCAATGTCCCAGGGCTGTGTGGCATTCCTCAGCACTGGCTGGAGTCACACAAGACATGCTTGACTGTGCAGGCCCAGATCTGAAGGCAGCAGGCATTCCCCAGAACCAGGGCTAGTGGTGTGGGAAGGGCATGGCACTTTTCTTTTTTAAAGATGATTAATTCTTAGGTAAGTGTCCAAATAGTGTAAGACCTAAGATAGATGAACCTTTAAAAAATCTAGCAGGGTATAAGAAATATAGTATTTTGTTCCACTTTTAATTGTTGTGACCTTTCAGAGCCCCTCCTTGCATGGCTGATAAGAAATTCTACTTTAGCCTCAATAGAATATCCAAATGATGGAAGCTCAGCACTCATACACTTAGAACCTCATTACCACTATAGGACTCCTTTCCCACATTTTTAAGGCAGTGTCATATTCACCAAGTAACTTACTCTACATTCTTTGAAGAGCCTCAATATGTGAGTATGAAAGTTTCCATGCCTTCATGAGGTATGTACTTCACTGTCTAAGCATTCAGATCAAATTTTAGTGAGAAAGGCAAATTTATGTAATCAACACAATAGGGGAACATTTCCTCATGTAAGAAGTGAATTACTTAATAGAGATTAAAACCTATACCCCATTCATGAAAATTTCAAGAGGTATCATTGGAGAAGCAGAAAACTAGAGGCCAAAATTTACAGTCTGTCTTAGTTACTTTATGCTCATTGCTGAGACAAAATACCTGAAGCCCAAAGTTGGGAAAGGAAAGGTTTATTTCTTACAGTTTTTGAAGGTTTCAGTCCACACTCAGTTGGCTCCAAGGCAGGCGGGCATGGCTGGGCCGCAGTTCATGGCAGCCGCAAACAGAAAACAGGAACTGGCAAAGAGCAAGACACACCTTCTTTCTGCTATTACATCACATCCTGGCTCCACCCCTATGTGGGTGGAGCACTGACACCATCAATCCAAGCACTAGACAATGAACCAATCACAAATACACAATGCAAACTCATGAGGCCTGGGGGACACAGACATAAACCATGAAACAGTCTAAAGCAAAAATTTTATCTTGCAGTTAGTAAGACTTCACTAAAGAAAGTTGACCAGCAAAGTGCTACAATTGATATAGGATTTAGGAAGATGTATTGGAAAGCAGTGTGCTGATTGATGATAAAAAGAATGGACCAAAGAAAGAATGTGAGGTCCCTGCCAATATAGGGTCTGAAGAAGAAAAGAGCAGGTTCCAGTTTCCAGATCCCTGCTCCATAAAAACAAGAGGTGGTTTCATGCAGTGTTCAAAGACATGCTAGACTAAAACTGGGTAGTACTACTATATGGATGCAACCAAGCTGCTGGGAGAGCCAATCAGTTACCCTGCTAAAGTGACTGATGTCAAGAGTCCCATTCATACACTACAAGTTTTATAGCAGTGCAGAATTCTGGGCTCATAAAAGTGACTTATTACAGCTCAAACTGGGTTCCAAATTGTCTGATATTCAGCTCCTGTCTTAGGCAATGTACAGAATTCTTAGCAAGTCTAGAAATAAGGTAGAGAAAAGAACCCCAATAGGATGGACTTGGCCAACAGAAGAAGGCCATATAGATTGACAAAACTGAGCGTCATTAAGGAAACTGAGCATCCTCAAGCATTTAAAGGTGTAAATGTTATATTTCTGAAAATGTAAGTAGTATCAGAGAGAGGAGATTATGAGACTTTAAAATAGCAAACATTGGAGCTGTGTTATTTGTACAGGTCACGGAGTCATGGGTTTAGAAATTAAGAGTGTATTCTAGAGTTTTGTGATGGTTAAACTAAGGTTAATAGAGGACCACATTTATAATTCTATTTTATGCAACATTTAAGAAAGAATATCTTACATATACCTATCTACCAAATTTACCTGACATCACTACTAATTCCTTCTAAATCGTTTCTATTTTTTTAAAAAAATCTTTGTGTTGGAAAAAGATAATAAACTAAAGCATGATAAAAATGTTGCCAGCTAGGGGACACTAGAGATGGCTGAGGGACATTGTAGGAGAGAGAGATCACTCAGACACACTCACTCCTGTTTTTGGATGGTATCTTGGTTACTTTAGTCTCATTCCTGGGACAAAATACCTGGAACTCAAAGTCAAGGAAGAAAAAATTTATTTAGCTCGCAGTTTGTGGAGGTTTCAGTCTGTAACTAGCTAGTTCCAAGGCAGGGTGGCTTGGCACAGGAGCATCACTCCAAGGTGGCAGAAAATGGCAGAAGCAGCAAGGAGGCAGCAAGAAGCAGCAAGCAGCAAGCAAGGAGGGGGAGTGTGACAGCAGCCTCTTTCTCTCCTTTATATTCTATGCAGGCTACTCACTGCAGGGTGGGTGTAGCACAAACATTCATAATCCCTGCACTGGACCATAAATCTGTCATAAACTCTAATAGCCTGTCTCCATGAGTTTTGGGGTGACATCTAGACACAAACCATGACAGATGGAGACTGACTCAAAAAATAATTGTTATGGTGTTAAAATTAATTTTTAGTATTGGGTATATCAATGAAGACATCTAATAGAATAATGTACTCTTGATGGCTTAAATGATTGCAGTTTCAAATTGTTACTTGGCAGAAAGTCTGGTGTTGGATATCAGTTCTCTGGACATCAAAATTTTAAACCAGAAATGCTACTAGTCCTTTGACTTTTTCTTTCATGTTCTCAAGATGGATACAGCAGCTTCAGGCATCATTTTCTCTCGAGACTTCATGCAAAGTTCAACATTGGGCAAGTATGTCACTGTATGTCTTTCCCTTAACAGGGAGGAAAAATCTTTCACAGGAATCCCCTCTAGCTGAATCTTCTTCACATCTCTTTTACTAAGAACTGTCTGACCTGACTACCCATAAATGCTCCAGAGAGATCCAAAAATACTCATCCCATGTGTGAACAAAACTAAGGCATTAAGTAGCAGTAGACAAAAGAATGACCTATGAGAGAGTGAACAACAGCAACCTGTACAATAGCATTTACTTTATGATTAGTCTTTGCATTTAAGTGTGTTGACCAGTGCTTCAATTTAGAATTATAAAGGTAAAGCTCTCTGATTGGCCAGAATTAGAAATAGTTTGGACCAGTAAAGGCTGCCTATATTCGTATGTCTATAACACTCATTTGCTTTGCTTAGTGTTTACAAATAGAGACAGGTCTGGTTTTTTTTAAAGATATAATTTGCTTCTTCTCTCCACTTTTCTAAGACTCACTGTCTCTCTGGTACTCTCAGCTCTTCCTGCTGTTAGATCAGCTAGCTCATATTTTGTGTGGTGATTTTGTACTGAGCCCCATCACCCACAGCAGGCAGAGAATCATCTCCTTGTCCAAATAGGAAGTACAGTCTTCATGGAAGCTTGTCATGTGAACAAGAAGTAGAAGTCAAGTAGCTCTATTGTTCAGGAGACAATATCAGGGTTTTTTTCCTCTATGTGGACTACAGAAACCTCTGGCTAGAGATATCCAAGGTATACTTTAAGTCACTAAAACCTTCAAAAATTTATTATTATTATCATCACTATCATCATTATTATTGCATAAAATACACAGGGAAATTGATGTGAACACTTCTCTTCTCTTCTCTGTTCCTCAAATCCCTTTGCCCTCTAGAACTGAGAATGATTTCTTTAGGTAATACTTAAATTTCACTATAATTTTCTAAATATGTTCAAAGTACAACTTAGTAATTTGGAACATAATAGTAAGTGTGAAAAACCTGCACTGCATCCTTCTTTCTCCATTTAATACAAATAATTAAAAGTCAAATGGGCTTTATTTAGTGAATACAATGTAGTTTTTTTTTCTTTCTTATATTTTAAGGGCCAAAACTAATGATTAAGTCTCACCAATCACAGCTCATTTGTTCAACTGAATCTACTATGATTCAATTAATTTAAAGCAGATGTAATGTGAATTCTACCAGTGGCATTCACTGGCTTGCTTAGAACCTTTACATATTGCTCATTCTTCTGTTCTGATTTTCATAATGTGAACTGGGCATTGAGTATTCAGGAAAGCCCAAAGATATTAAAGAGGACTGTCCTATGTAGAAATTCAAATAGCATTAATGGTGCCTTGATCCAAAGTCGCAACTCTGAAAACTCAGTTGCTTTCACAGTGGATAAATCAATGTAAACTCCCTATTCAAAGGGTTCAAAACCTGTATGAACCCTCCTAAAATCCAACCACATTAAATCACTGTGCAAAACCTTCACTGGCGCTCCATTCCAAAAAGATTTAGTAATTCTGTGGTCCAACCCAGTAAATGAACTTTGCTGTTTTTTCTTATAATTAAATCAAATATCACATATAGATGAAATGAATCAGTTAAAGGAATTATAAATGCAACTTACCCAATGGTAGCCCAATGACTAGAGGAAAGTTTGCATTCTTGACACACTGATTGACATACCTTTATGGTTCTCATTAATACATTGTGTTACATATTTGTTTTCCCTTTTACTGACTTGTTTGAAATTACACAATCATAATCTGAAGGGTTACATTCAAGTTGCTTAAAGTAGGGTGCTTGCTCTGTCTTTTCCTTATGTATCAGACAGGGAAGATGTCCCTTCCTATCGAAAGGGTTTTAGGAGTGAGGTGCAGATTTGAGGAAGTTACGAGCAATCCTTTCAATACCAGTAGATAGAAAGCAGAAAAAATTCAAGTTGCTCAAAGTCAATAACTCTCTCACTGACTGCTATCTCCATCTTTTTATTTCTACTGAATAAATAAAAGGGCTTATATTAAAAAATAGCTGCATATAATAAGTTAGAAATATACTCCAATAATTTTGTTAAACTTACTTTACACTCCTGAATATTTTAATGTAATGCTCCATCATGTATTTTTTTCTTTCTCTCAAATAAACTTGTTTCTTTATAAATCATAATTTCTATCCCCATTAATAAAAATAAAATCCTGTAGATGCAATCTTGTTTTCTTTATACATTTGGGACTAAATTTAACTAATTAACATTTTAATAACATTCCACCATTTGTTCCTGCAGAATTAAAGGACATTCTCAAGATAAATTGATACACTTCAAACCGTCTGGAATTCAAGCAGCTTTGATTTTAAGTAAGTACTGTTTTCCTATATGCTTGTGGACATTTTAGAGTGATTAACATATAGGCCATAAGGTAAACTATAGAAAGAATGGAATTTATGTATTTTTATTATACTTCACACAATCAAAAGATTTTGTATTCCTTTCCTAAATGAGATGAGCATCCTGGCAGAGCAGCACTCCAGGTAACACTGGGAAATCTCATTGATTCAGAATGATTGAAGGGAACTCTTTGTATAGAAAAACATTGGGATAAGAAGGTTGTAGAGAACAAACACTTTTATTACCTTTAATGTAAAAACTGTAGCTCAAAGTTTCAACACTTGCTGACAGAGACACTACAGAACTTATCCAGTGAGAAGCATTTGTTCTGCATAAAGGGCACACTCAGGACAACAGTTTAGGTAGACAACTGATTCCTGGCAGTGAGAATAGAAGACAGTCTGACTGACATTAGAATAGAGATAGCAATGTTTGGCTACGATGCTTGGCTGTTCCAACCTGCAGTGCAAATAAATAAGCCACACAACTGCATCTTAAGTCAGCTTAGAAGTTCAACAAGAAGTCTCAAGCCAACTTAGGCCACTACAATTATTACAGGATGAACAGAGTGGCTAAAATGATCTTTGGAAGCTGTGATCATAGAAGGAAGATAAGGAAGGCCGTTGATACAGGGATTTAATTGAGGGCTAGCACATCTGAGTGATATGGTGACCCACAACACTCAAAGTCTTAGATCTCCCCATTGGCCTGGTGCCCTATCAATACCATAGTATTCTAACTCCCCAGTAGTTTCATGGCCAGCCACAAACTGATTCTAGGTAAATCTGGGCTAGGGAATATGCCCCTCACCTCTGTTCCTCCTTCACAATCATTTTGTTATAATACTTTCATAAGATTACTTCTGGCACAAATGTCTCCAGAATATATTAAACTTTTTTTTTCTTCCATAGCTTCTTAATTGTTTTTTTTTTTTTCTTTTGTAAAGCTAGAAATTGCACCTTTGGCCTTGTGAGTCCTGGTCAGGTGTTATACCACTGAGCTAAATTCCAAGCTTTCCTATTTCATATTTTATTTTGAGTCAGGATCTGGGTAAGTTTCCCAAGCTAGTATGAGTTTGTGATCCTTCTGACTCAAGTCTCCTGGATAGCTGATATTTCAGGAATGCACAAGGATAGATAATATCTTACTTTTCTAACCTTCCATTTCTCCTTTTGACCTCTTTGCTTTTATTATTTCATTTATATTGTCTTCATTAACAAGACACATATTTGTAAATGTAATACTAATACATTCATGTATTTATATTATCTTTCAAGTGTCTTACTATTTCTGCCTTTATTTTATCTTCATAATAAATTTGACAACTATCATTTCTAATATTTTGCAAAAGAAATGATGATGTTCAACATCATAAGAAGTTTATTCAGAATTGTAAGGATATTTCATGATTCTATTTCATTGAACATAGATTAAATTGGTTTTAAATGTGGAGAATTTAAGACAGGAAGAAAGTTTGGTAGTGAAACTGCAAATGAAAATTTGCAGTTCTTATGAAACATTTTCTAAGTATTTCTATGAGTTTGTGGAATGTTGCCCCTAGTTAAACAATATTTTGGTATAATAAAAGTGTGGATTTGCTGAAATTTTTGGTTATAAAACCAAAACTCTGGAAGTACACATTTGCTTACAATTTCTGAGCATTCCTTCCTTTCTTACATGTACCCATCTTTCTAGAAACTAAAATCATGAAGTATCCTGCAACCATCAAGCTAGATTGGAAGTTAGAAAGACTCTCTTGTCAGTCAAATTATTTAAAAATTTATCGGTGAATTTTCTCACAATTAAAAGAGAGAAACAACAACTGCTGAATAGGACAGAGAAGAAACAGTAGATGAATTATACACAAAGAGCTCAGAATTCTCCCAAGCATGGAGTACTTTATATATGCCAACCATTATATCTCTTTTGAGTTAGGAACTACTGAGCCTCAGTATCATTGTATGGACTATAGTGTGGGCCACACAATCTCTCGCACAGATAACAAACTCTAACATTTACATAAATAATATAAAGCGAATAAACATGACTACATTCCATTAAAACTTTATTCACCAAAAACAACATCAACAACAAAAAAGCCCAGGCATCAGGCCAAATAAAGCTTGCAGGCAGTAGTTTTCCAACTGTACCTTGGCTCCATGGCATAAAGGAATTTGAGATGAAAACAGAAATGCACAGCAAGGGAAACACAACCAGTACAAACCCAAAACTACTCTAGCAACTCCTTCGTTCTTGAGATGACTAGCAAGTTATATAATTATTTGAAACCTGCTACTTTCTACTTGAAGCCAATTTCTAAAACATGCTCCAGGTTAATCTAAGCGAGACATTGCTTCCCTGCCATCAAATTCACAAGGATCAAAGAAAAGCAGTCATGAGCCAAGAGACAACAGAGGCTGTGAAGTAAGCAATTTTCCTTTAGAGCCATCTGTGTACCTCTCAGAAGCGGTAGGGTAATTTGAACAGTTCACTTGTTTTGGAATCTGATTGACAAAGTGTAATAACCCCTACTCTGCCTTACCATTCCCAAGTTTAGCACAGTTGAGAAAATACTCGATATTCTACCTCCCAGGAATTATTAGGTACCACTTTCTGTTTGTTACTTCTAAAATCTTTTGATTACTTTTATCACAGGTGGGTACTCCTTCTCTGTTATATGATTATTTTTTATTTATCTAAAATATACTATCTTTTACTTATCTACTTATCTAAAATAAACTATCTTTGCTTATATGTTAATGTGCATGTTTTAATTACACTATCTCTACAAGCATCACTTCCTCATTTTGATCTGGAATAAGCTGAGGATATAGATGGTAACTTTGTCTTATCTTCTCTTCCTTCCTAAATTAGGATTGAAGATAAACTCTCAGATTCATGAAACATTGCATTTTATTTAAAGGAAGATAGTGGTTTACATCCAGTGGTTATTTTCTACTGACTATGTTGGAGCTTGGTCTGATGGAGCTCATCTTCTTGAATGCTAATTGTTCTGCTAATTGTTCCTCACTTTAAGTAGAGGTTTGGCAATTGCCTCAGCAGTGCCTGCTGCTGAAACTGCAGACTTGGTTCACAAATGGATATCAAGCAAGATGGAGAAGAGCATGTGGGGAAATGTTTACTTCATCTCCCTATATCTCACACTTTATATAGTTACATAAAATCCTCCCACAAAAGTTGATTTTAGTCACCTTTGATGAGACAAATGTAGTAAGCATCCAATGGTAAAGATAAGGATCAACTTTCCTTGTAGTTCCCAGGAGCATCTGGAGATGCAAATGCAGGATTTAATTAAGTTCATGCTATGGTTCATATCTAAAATGTTCCCCTAAAGTCTCATGTGCTCATTGGGGGTGGGAGCTTTTGGAAGGTCATTGGATCATGGGGGCACTGTAATTATCAGTGGTTTAATCCATAGATGAGTTCATTACTGAATGTGCTATTCGAAGGTAAGACCCTAAGTGGAAGCAGTATGACGTTGGGCACATGACACAGAAGAGTGAAGTCTTGTCTGCAGCTCCTTCCTCTTTTCTGCCTCCTGCTGTCCTGAATGGAGCAGTTTTCCTCTACCATATCCTTCTACTATGCCATATCTGTTTTGGATTAGTTAACACTACAAAGACTAAACCCTCTGAATTCACAACTGAAAATAAACCTCTCCTTTTTAACGTTGTGGATGTTGTGGATTTTGTCCCAGAAATGGGAAATTGACTAATACACATGGTGATTGACTTAGACAGAGATCTTTGTCTAAAATCCACAGAGAACACATGGTTTAATTTCTAGCCTTTCAAGTTTTTACTAAACAGCATATTGACTCTCCTTGTCTGACTAGTCTGTTAATTATATCTTCCCCCACCAAAGCCTTGTTGAATAAACTGAATGAAGAAAATAGTTTTCACCAAAATTTTACTAACTTGTAATTTATGATGGAAATATTCAATCTAATGTCTTTGGTTAGTAGCTCTCCAACTTAATAGCCTTAAGAAATTTTAATAGTAAATATCTAGTCCATTTAGTTTATCTATATTTTAGAACTCTTTAAGTCTTTTCAACATTTTTTCCTTAGCTCAACGTTATAAAAGATGCAGGGTAGATTTTATCATAGCACCTTTTAAGACAATAAACTCAAAGCCAAAGAAATAAAATGCATTCTCAAAGCCACAAAAAATTAGCAGCAAAGTTTAGTCTCTGCTTCCTATGTGAACTTAAATCATTCCAGGTATATTTCACACTCCTCTGTTACTGACCTGTGATCTTAATCTTATGTGACATATTTAATAGTTTCCTTGTTTATTTCTCTAACTATATTTCAGTGCATTTTACTTATCTTCATTCCCTAAAAGCAAAATACTATTTTTCTTGACAGAGGCAAACCATACCTTCTAAACTTATTTACTGATGAGTAGTACCATTTAAATATAGAGCAGGAAACAGAAAGAAACTTTTTCTATCGAATACGATTCTCTACTTCCACTTTAGAAGACTAAGTTTATTATAGATTCTATATGCTTAAGATATTTTGAGACTGAAACATCTTCCCTAGAAGGAAGGGAAACATGTGTGAAGGTACTCACCCAAGGAAGGATTCAAAAAGTATCTGGAAAAAAGGAAGGAGCAGGAAAATTATAGATTCTCTGTTAAATTTTGGACATGGCAATGACCTCAGCTCTGAAAATAGATGGGGACGTGGGGGTGCTTCTCAAGTCATTAGTTTCTGAAGGGGAGAAATGTTAACTATTTTAAAACAGGAAACAATGAATGTCATCTGTTGACTTTTGTAGGAATCTAACTATTAGGCTGTAGAGTCTTCTGAAATTAGAAGCTTTGGGATCCTATGGTCAAGAATAACAACAGCTAAGAACAGAAAACAGAAGAATAAATAAAGATACTGGTGTTCTCTAAGATGACATTTCACACAGTGTGCCTCAGAAAACAAATCCCAAGTAACCATCCTTACTGAAAAGGTTCCAGGTCAACTAAGTGGGAAACAGTAGACACTGCCATCATCTCGTTAAGATGTAAAATGTAAAGAACGTAATTAAACTGCCCTGAAGAAAAAATGTAAAATTCAAACCTACTTAATTGTTTTA